TTGTCAAAACAGGCACTTTTGAGGGGGGAAAAAAAAGTAAGTAATTATTTTGTTGAGGGGTTCAAAGTACGGTGCTTTTTCGCATTCACCGTCTTTATCTCATGTTAAACTTTAAATATATATTCGGTGCATAGTTTTGAATATCTTTCTTTGATAGAATAAAATATCTAATATTTTCTTCGTCTCATTTATATATGCTGACTTTCCTTATTTTTTTTCCAATTATATAATTATGTTTCTTTATTGAGAATGTTTTGTTTTGTTCGTTTATATACTCTTATTTAATAATTCCTTAAGTACAGAAAACATGCCAGATTTTTTACAGATTTTTGAATTGTCAAATCCTGTGCGTCGGGTTGTGTTTTCCCTCCTCCAATGTTTAAATCCAATTCATCCATTTCAAAATTCTGTATGTATTCTGTGAAAAAAAATCCGTACTCATAGCATTACTCGCTTTTGATAGGTGTATTGAGTGTTATTTTTTTTCCATCTGTCCAATGAAATTCTACCATGCGTCCCCTATTTTTTTAACCTACTGAACCTATCGATATAGCATGATTGATTCTGCAAGAGGTAGCTTATGGTGTAATAGGTGCGTACCTAGTCACCAAATTAAAGTCTATAACTCCATTGTCAAAACAGTCACTTTTGAGGGGGGAAAAAAAAGTAAGTAATTATTTTGTTGAGGGGTTCAAAGTACGGTGCTTTTTCGCATTCACCGTCTTTATCTCATATTAAACTTTAAATATATATTCGGTGCATAGTATTGAATATCTTTCTTTGATAGAATAAAATATCTAATATTTTCTTCGTCTCATTTATATATGCTGACTTTCCTTATTTTTTTCCCAATTATATAATTATGTTTCTTTATTGAGAATGTTTTGTTATGTTCGTTTATATACTCTTATTTAATTTGTCCAATTATAATCAATTTTCTCTACTTACTCTTGAACTTGTACAAATATAAATAAGGGTAAATTAGGAAATTTTTTAGCAAAAAATGATTTTTCAATAATGTTAATTAAAATTTTTTAATCCGTATGAAAAATAAAATCAACTTATATAAATGGGACGGGAATTACCCGCACATTTATGAGATTTACAAATTTTATCGATATTTCAATCACACATTTCATTAACTTTTATCAAAATTCACTAAAAAAAATATGATTTTCATCTAAATCTGATAGACGAAATCTCCTAAGATAGATTTCTCTAAAAATCAAGATTTAATGGGGTCGCATCGTGGAATTGGGATAGTCAAAACTGAAGTTGGATGGTCAATACAAACTCTCTTGATTATGATTGCCTATTAAGCGAATCTTCCAAGACATTATAATTTTAGAGTGCAAATGGAGAGGACCAACGAGTTCATTGGATGTCATTTTCTCTTACAAACTAATTACTTGTTCAAAGTGGAAAGCAAAATTGAAAATTGATCAAAAGCTAGCCAGGCAATGACTACAAATATTAGCTGCTACACCTAATTTTGGTGTCGACATATTACTCTAATTTCGAATGAATGACCCAATTACCAAAGAATAAAATAAATAGCTTTTAAATAAGCAAAGTTCTTTTCAAATAAGTTGAATCCTTATAAATAAACGTGTGAAATAACCAATTATGATGAGAACCGAGAAGTTTTTATCTTATTTCAATGAATTTTAAATAAGCGGAGTTTGACCTACAACACGTTCTTATTCTAATGTACTGAACATCTTTTATGAGGAATTACCTCTTAACTAAAAAATATTAATAAATAATCTTTGATGGGATAAAGCATATGGGTCCGTAGTATCGTTGTCATATGCCAAATGATCAAGTTCACTTTCTTTACTTTCGAATATATAGTGACCTCTAATTAAAATGATACGGTAAACACTATTTGTCTGAATAGAGAGGAGAGAAATTAAAAGGATAGGTCGACTAAAAATTTGCACGTGGAGGCGATTTTTATTTTGACTTTTATGTGGGTTTAGGCTCTTTTATTCATTGAACTTCGTATAATAAAATTTGACATTCTATTCTATGATGTGATGGACCAAATTTTTGTTCTTTGTATTCCAAATTCATTGTAGGGTGGAAGTGAACTTTTCAATAAAACAAGAGATTAAGATTCTTAATCAAGCTTTAACAAGGTTAATTAAGTTCAATGGATCAAATTTGTTGATTTTGACAAATGTGGTTTTATGTCGACGAAGAATCAAAATTTGTACGATTCATGTCACTCATTGAAGTACAAAGGGCCCAATAGCTTGGTCAAATAAATGAGCCCAAATCAAATTTTGATATGTTGTTTAGTTTCACATTTGGAGAATACTGTATTCTGAAAAACAAAAAGGGGGAAGATATGACAGGAAAACAGAGAAGGAAAATGTCATTTGAATTTACGAAACTTAGAAACAAGGAAAGAAATGAATTGCATTGAAACGAAAATTATGAGAGGTAGCACTCACAAGAATTCACATAAGAGATCAAAATGCTACTAACACTCCCCAAATGCCATACAAGTTAGTGAAATACGATTTTTATACAATACTGAGGTAGGTAGAGATGGCAAAAAAAAAAATCCGTAAAATCCGATACCTGTGAGCCCACTCCGAATGGGACGGAGATTATCCGCCTAACAGGTAAACAGGACGAGGACGAGGTGGGAGTCATTGTCTCGAAGTGAGTACATAAAACATAATTCTCGTCTAGCTACCATTCCCGTTTAAAGTTAATTTCTAATTTAAATTTTTTATCAAACACAATTAAAAAGATTTATATAATTTTTAAAGAGAACATAAGTTATTCTTGACAAATAATAATAATAATAATAATAATAATAATAATAATAACTAAATAAAGACCTAAAAAATAAATGTTACGATAAATGGGACAGAAGAACTTGCCATGCACCGAACCCGCCCCATCCAATTTTAATCACGTAAGGAGATGGAGCAATGTGTCAAAAAGACAGTTGGGGGAGGGAATGACCTACTCGTCCCATACTCGCTCCGTTGCCATCTCTAATAGGAATTTTGTTCATCAAAAAGATTATCAAAAGAAATAAAAGACCTTGTGCACTCTTGACTAAAAAATGTCATAACTAAACAGAAAAGTCATCAAAAAGTTCTTCTAACGAGGTTGAAAAGAATAATGATACTTGCATATAAAGAGTAACATAATAATTTACTTACGGATGAAGTGTCAAAAAATGAGTAGGGACTTTTTAAATTTTTTTTGGTTAAAGAAATTTTAACCCGATCATATCTCTCCAAGTCATATTTATGTAAATCATCATGTACATATAGTACAATTAGGTTGAAAACTCTTTCCAATTTCAAGCTCATTTGATAACCACTAGTCGAAGTCGAACGTGCATTGCACGTTATTCTTAAAAATATTTGATAAGTGTTGTAAAATAAATATTTGATATCAATTTATTTGGAGGATTTGATGAATCTCAAATGAATTAAAAAAATTAAAATTTAGAATATGAATTTAAGAGAAGAAAATTATATTCTCAAAACTCAAATTTTTAATGATGATGAAATACTACAAATAAGCAACATTTTTATGCGACATAAGAATTAATTGTTAATATATGAATTTAAACACCCATTTAAATTCATAGACACATGAATAAAAATAAATTCATCTACAATAACTCTAGATTCATGCATATCAAAATTCATCAAATCAAAATTTATTAAGTCTAGATTAATGGGAATGTTAATTAATTAAAAATTAATAGCACGAAATTGATTTTGTATTATTTATTACATATTGAAAAATGGAAAGTAAAGCAATATTGAAATAATTGAAATGTATCAAGGTTAAAATCGTTCAAAATAGGATTCTCACTTAATATGATATTTAGTATATTATGGATTACAAGGAATATAGAGATGAATCGAATGGTTACATATAAAGAACAGTCAATGTTTTAGAAATTTAGGTTTCGGAGATGGATTGAAGTTGGGAGAATTTAGGTTTTTGAGAAAGATTGGAGCATGAATTGCGGATTTATCGTAGATGGATGTATTGCCCAATTATGGAAAGGCTAAGAGAGCTCGGATCGAATCGGTATATCCTGATGTAATTTCTTTTCCGATTTAAAATACGAAGTCAGTAAAAATATTCAACTCTGGAAAGTCAGTAAAATCAATATATTTATAGCCTAAATTAGTCGTTAAACCCGATTCAATTCTAAACTGCTCCATTAGTGCATAATACATCATTATTACGTGAATATATTTATTTGATGAACAAATAAACGTCAATATAAGATCAGTAGTTCAAAACATCTGAGGATTCGAATTCTCCTGGATTATTATGAAAGAAAGTTGATCATAAATTACCAGTATGCAAAAATCTTCGATAAAAGAAAGTTCTTTTTCTTTTTCTTATTTGATTGAAGAAATTTTTATCCAATTATATCTCGAGCTCTGCTACAGAAACAGCGGGGATGACCGTGCCGGTGACCACACACACATGGGGGGTTGGGATTATTTTTGGACCATGCTAGACGAACCGCGTGGATGACCTCGGGGTTGACCGCGCACACTCACATGGGGGGTTGGGATTATTTTATTCGGGTGGGACCCGCGCCTCAGCTGTGAGGACGCGGTCATCCATGCGGGTCGTCTAGCATTTTTCTTATATCTCACTACATAATGTCTATGTACACCAATCTGTAAGTTAGTGATATGCATATAACACAACCAATCAATAATTTAAATTGATGTTTATATCTGCTCAACCATTCCAAATACGTCAAATGTATTAAAATGGATTTTACAACCTTTCCTAAATAAAGGGATCATACGGAGTGTTTCAGATTATCATAGTTTCATTTAGGATAACTAACATTTACCATGTCAAATCCACAAAGCTCTCTACAGCCGATAACTTTGAGAAATAAGGATCCCAAGTTTTGCACAAAGAACAAACAACAAATTTAGACAATAGCCATATCAAAATCTTAAAAATCTATACCCTCTTAGATGTTTTCAAGGAAATCCCTTCAGAGAGTCAGATGCTTTGCCAGATCGAGCGTCTGTCCATGCTTTTGCAATTGTTCGTTTCATCTCTTCATCACCTTCCTCGTACATATTCTGCAATTCACATAAAAGTTCAGGTTGTAAAACATAAATAGCTGCAGACATCTGAGAAGAAACGAGGAACATGTTTCGTACAGTCCACTAAACAAGTATTCAATGAGAAAATTGTTAAATTGTGCAGCATAATTATTCCCACTTCATAGAGCGAGTATGCAAATCAATCTCAGCGGTGATATTACCCATGGGCAGAAATTTACAATAAAAAATTACATTGTAAATTTCATCAAATGAATTTGAGTCTTTGTAAATTTCAATTTTACCCTAATTTAGAATTCTTAATCACCCATCATAAAATAAAGAAAGAAATTTTAGAAAATTGGTGTGCGATTTTTTATTGTAAATTTTTTTCCTTGTAGTAAATTATTGAGATGACGAAAAAGGACGTAATCCCACATTCAGACGAACAACTATAAATCTTGTGCGTTCTATTATTTTCTGTTAATTGATTGCTCTCGATAAAATAGAATTAAGAATTTCTAATTCTTAACAGAAGTGATCTAAGAGACGAAATGTTATACCTTCATCAAGTCCATCATTCCAGCCATTGGATCCCGCTCTTTATCCAAATTTGGCTTCATCTGTAACATCATCATGGGACATGTTCATACGAAACTGAACAAAACATCTTAATTTCAGTAGTCAATTTTCAGTATTAAGAAATTACCTTATCTTCTTTGAAGTGCAAATCCAACCAGTTCCCCTTGGAAGCTTTAACTAAAGTGACAATGACCCTCTTGGGCTTTACTACCACTTGACATTTCTCGGGCACAATCTCCTTGTTTAATTTTGGTATGGCACATCTATAATTCTTTCCTTGGACGTCATGGAATTTGATATCAAAAGAACTTGGCTTAAATTTGGTCTCAAGTTTCTCCTGCTCAACTCCCTCCAATGGAATATAAATCTAGCAAAAATAAACAATAAAGAAACTGAAAATATGGGCAAAGAACACAGAAGAATCAACATAGGTGACAGATGAAAATTATAGCTTCTAAGGGTGTCTTATAATAAACTTATGTTTCCTTATATCTAGATAAATAAGAACTAAAATAAGCAAAATCTTTGTTGATCAAAATGGAAATAAATTTCTTATTTTGAGCATCTCACAAGGACCTTTATGAAGACTACAAAACCTCCAAACTAGCAAGCATTCTCACCTTCACTTGATCATTACCCTGATCCCAGCTGAAGGATCCAAGAGGAACATAATTTAGCACAGTCTTAGGGACCACATTTGGCACACTTGATATTGGTGTTGGCGCACGGGTAGTTGAAACTGGTGGCTGCAAAGCAGATGCAGGAGTGGCATCTATTGATAACTGCAAAATAACATCAATAGCAAGTTATGGGTAAAGAAATAAATTAGTACACACTCCCATGTGATATTCTCAAAATATTATATAAAGGATAAGTCGTGGCCCTCTATTATATCTTTCAATCTTAGGCAGCAGTTCCTATTCCCTATCCATTAAAATAAGAAATTAATCATTATTGGGGGAACAAAAGGAGGAGCTTTGTTCTTAAATTAGATTATTTCACATCATATGACAACGCATGATTCTCAAAGTACAAACACGTAAGCAAGGGTCTGTATGCTCTCATGAGCTAGAGTGCTAAAAAAGTAAGAGCAATATATCTCTTGCTTGCTTTAATAGATTTCTTAAAGGAATAAATCCATAGCGAAGTGTACAAGTAAAAGCCAATTAAAGACGCTCATTGCTCTTTTTTGCACAATTATGTAGTTATTCCACCTTTTTTCATTCAAAATCCACCTCTAAGTACTGGAGAGGGGGTGGAATCCATCTTGACAACATTCATATTGATATAGGTCCAGAGGTACCACGTTAATACAATATTCGTTAACTATGAGTCCACATATAATAACATCATGATTGACACATTTTTGTAATTGCTTTCATGCCATTTCTTTAGATTCCACTATCAAGTCTTGTCCACAAGTCTGAATGAGAATAAGATGAAGGTACAATGGTGAATTAGGGGAAAAAACAGAAACTTAATGCCATGATGAATGGAATTTTCGACAGTACAAAATTAAGCCCTTGTGTAAACCCCATTTCTTCAAAAAAAAAAAAAAAAATTCAAAACTCATTTTCAACTGCACATTTTTCAATAAAATAATTTTACACATAAATCAAAACCTTTTTTCTCATTTTTAAACCACACATTCCCAAAAAATCACTATTCCATAACATTTTTTCCACCCAAAATGGGGCTCAAACAAGGGCTAAGAGTATGTTATTGAAAATCCTATCCAAGGAAAATATGGTAGAAAAGCTAACTGCACAAGTGTTATGAATATTGGGCCTAACTCCACCTAATAAAACCGACTTATTAGGGGAGGATTGTCCTCACCTTATTAAGTGGATCATTTATATTTTTCCAAATAATGTGGGATTCTAATACGCCCCCCCACGCACAGCGTGGACCATGCCAAACAACTGTGAACAAATCGATATTGGGTGGCACCCAACATTGCATAATTGGGCCTAGCTCTGATATCATGTTAGGAATATTGGGCCTAACTACACCTAATAAAACCGGCTTATTAGGGGAGAATTGTCCTCACCTTATTAAGTGGATCATTTATATTTTCTCAAACAATGTGGAATTCTAATAACAAGCGTTCAGCAAAAACTAACCACTTTGCAAGAAAAGGATTCCTCCCACGATGAAGCATTCATTTAACCAATTTCGAATTTATTGGAAACAAGGCTTCATCATTGACTACTCATGGCTCTGAGCAACAGATAACATTCGTCTCCATAATCATCCACTTTTAAAACACATTTGGACTCGAAATAATCACACTTCGCACCATACCATTGACACGAGTCAAGGTTCCATAAACGGAGTACAAAACCCAATGTAGTGATAACAATAGCCATGTTTAATTTCAGAAACATACACCCGAAGAGCAAAAATTCATTTCAGAAGATGAACTATCACAGTAATTTCTCAAAATAGCCAGAAAATAAACGAAATTATAAAAAAAGAAACCCCTCGTCGTCAGCAGCAAAAGAAAGGGACAAAAACAAACTCCCTATATTGAAAATACATAAACCAAATAAACGAAATAAAATGCCCACATAAATAATGCCTTACTCCCTAAATTGAAAATACATAAACCAAATAAACGAATTAAAATGCCCACAAAAATTATACCTTTTCCAAATTGCGAATCTCATTGGAAATAAGAGAGACAATGCGAGGCCTCTTAGCAATGCTTTGAAGATGATTCAATTCGTCCAAGTCCAGTGCCAATTCTTCACAGCTTGCCATTTTTCAGTCTCTCTTTCAATACCAATTCAACACCTGTATATAAAAAAAGTGATTCTAGTAATCGATTTAATTACATAATGGAATTATGAAGCGAAAAAGAGAAATGGAATTGAACCTGGTGTAAAACACTGGAGAGGTATCGAAAAAGTTAGAAATGAAAATTTATGTTTTAGGTTAGTTTTAAATGTAGAAAGAAGATTCTAGAAATTGTAAAAATAACACATTCTCGAAGGGATTAGAGAAAAGAAAGAAACCACGGTGTATTCGGTAGAAATTAAAATCGAATTAAACTTAAAAAATTAATCGTTATTATTGATTTTTATTAGACAAGTGGGACACAATAACGACTATATTTTCAATTTTAATTATAGATTAAAATCGGATTAAAATTGAAAAATTAGTCGTTATTGTTGACTTTTATTAGACGAGTGGACCCAATAACGACTATATTTTCAATTTTAATTGAATTTTAAACTTAACCAAACATGCTCTAAACATGCAACAAAGAATTCTCAAATATTAAATTTTAAGATTCGAAAGTTATGTTTCTCTTTTAATTTGAAATAATAATATTATCAAATTAAATTAATCCACCCCACCCCACGCCATCCCATCCCATCCCATCCCATCCCATCAAACAACTGCCCATATTCCACCTGCAGACATCCAGCCAGCCAACGACTTTTTCAACGACGAATTGATCGTCAACGACTTATCATCTTCTTCATTCACGACTCAACAAGTATAATTTAAAATTTAAAATTGAAAACAGCTCCTTGTGTAATTTATAGAATACTTACCAAAGCAAATTAAATAATTCATTTAGTCGTACTTATTATNTTATCATTTCTAGGATATTGCTTTGTTTTTATTCTCAAATGATGATATGGTGCAAACTTTAGGGATAACTATTTGCTTTTGTCAGGCATTAGATGGTATACGTAGTCATCACCATTTGTTGTCTTTGTCTTACCTTCTTGCTGGCATAGCATGGATTTGATGACAGTATAGATATTCTTTCTCAATTGATCTTAGGTCCTATCAAAATTGAAGGTTCTATACGTGCTTGTTTTGTGTTTGATGATTTAGCCCCTGTTTGGCACCCATTCTCTTTCTCTTTCTCATTCTCTTTTTTCATTTCAACCACACAATCTCCAAATAAAATAATATTACACACAAATCTAAAATTTTTTATCACTTTTCCACCACACATTCTCCCATCAATCACTATCCCAAAAATTTTCACATAGATTGAGATTATAATCACGGTGGGGTAAAATGCATTACTCAATTAAAATATATTCTTAATTTTTCATTTTATAAAAAGTTTCGATAATTGGGATAAAATTATTTGAAATTTATGTTATATCCATAAATTATGCGACATGCACACAGCGGAAAGAGTCCCATATTAGCTGATTGGATATTGATAATGTCAATTAGATTGAGCCGATCAAATCAAGCAACTTCTTCTTGGGCTTGGGCTCAAGCTCGATCCACTAAACCTATTTTGCCCCATTTCTTCCCCTCTATGTATAGGGAGTCATACACGTTTGAGGTATGTTATTCTAGACAAATTTCCTCACACCTCTCGCACTCATCTCCTTATCGTTTCAATAGTTAACTTGACCATTAGAGTGAAAACAATTGCAAGACCTTTGCTCTAAACCAGTTACCTTTGCACCCTAATCTTGTGTTCTATCGTGTACGTGATGCCTATGAGGATAGGAGATGATCGGGATTCTGTTAATCTCTCGATCAGATAGGTTTTGAGGTCTACAATTTAATTATTAAAATGAAATTCCTCTAATTTTTATTAACTTTACTGTCCTTATCGTGATATAAATGTAGAAAGATCATCCTCTTGTTTATGATATCTATCTCTATTCACTTTTTCGAGTCACCCACATTATAATTTTCTTCTTCCTACGTT